AGTTTAATATTATTATAAATATTACTCTTGAGTCACGCGTTGCAGCTAGACCAAAGACTCTAGGATATATCTCTGCAAAAATACATAACACTCTTAGATTTTAATATTTTTTTATATTTTTTATGCAAGAAAAAAAATAACCCGTAGCGTATGCTTTTGTTTTGTTTTCTTTTTCCTTTTCTTTCCAAGCCTTTTACTGTGGATTGCACAATGCAGTCCACGATGGAAAAACTGATGTTTTTAGTTTTTTTTTTGTTTTGTAATTATTCTTTTAATTTGGTTTCTTAATATTAAATTTTTTCTATTTAATTATTATATTTTCATGACACGGATTTCATGTTTGACCGGTTAACCCGATTGATTCAGATTGTTTTTATTTTGTCATTATTTTTGTTCTTACGATTTCATCTTTTAATATTATATGCAGCCCACGATGAAAAAGCTAATGCCTTTAGTTTTTTTTTGTTCTTTTTATGTCTTTCACTGTGGACTGCACAATACAATCCACGATGAAAAGATTGATATTTTTTTATTTAGTTTATTGTTATTAAATTTTTTTCTATTTAGTTACCAGGCTTTCATGACATGAATTTTAGATTTGAAGGGTTAACCCAGTTAATTCAGATTTTTTTCTTCATGTTTGTTTTTTTATTTGTTTTGTTATTTTTAATTAATCTATTTAAGTATCATATTTTTATAATACAACTTTGCAGCTATATCTAAGATTATTGAGTTTGATATTGCAGCGAAACCCGTTTAAACTTAGATTTTTCAAGTTTAATATTATTATAAATATTACTTTTAGGTCTAACATTGCAGTTAAACCTAAAACTCTTTAATTTAACTTTACAAAAAAATTTAATATTTTTTATTTAAAAAATTTGCCCGTGACATCATGCGGGTTATATTGATGATTGATGGAGACGGTGGTGTCCACCATTAGTTCCATGCCTGACTTCGCTATTGTTGGAGAGGCTGGTGGCAATGAAAAAACCACTGGCAAGAAAATAGGCGGCCTGCTTTACATCTAGTGCGTTGCAGACTTGGAAAAACATGGTGGTTTTTATATTATGAACATTGGCTAGAAGTGTGGTGTCAACATGGTATAAAAATATGTATTTATATATAGAGTATCACAGTAAAATATAGAAGACTTTGTGTGCGTGTAGAAGATGAGCAACGCCGTATTCTGACTTCTTTACAAACCAGTAAAATATTGATGAGTAAAACGATAGTAAAAAAATTAATTTAAAAAAAAGATGGAAAGGGGAAAAAAATGTTGAGGAATGAGAGCAATATAAAAATAGATAAAATGATGATAGATAAAATT